ATCCTTCTTATCCGCCAAATACTTGGGGCAGTTCCGCTTCCAGTGACCAGTCTGCTTGCAGTAGAAGCACTCAGTTTCAGGCTTAGGTCCAGACTTGGGTTTCTTCTCCTGAGCAGCAACTTGCTTGCTGTTCTTCTTGAAGTTCCCCTTCTTCTTCCCTTTGCCCTTTTTCTTGAAACTAGTGGTCTTGTTAACCATCAACACTTGATGCTCCTTCTTGATTTCTACCTCCGCAGCTTTCAGCATTGCGAAGAGCTCGAGAATAGTCTTGTTCATCCCTTGCATATTATAGTTCATCACAAAGCTCTTGTAGCTTGGTGGCAGTGATTGGAGAATTCTGTCAATGATGCAATCATCCGGAAGATTAACTCCCAATTGAATCAAGTGATTATTATACCCAGACATTTTGAGTATATGCTCACTGACAGAACTGTTCTCCTCCATCTTGCAGCTATAGAACTTATTGGAGACTTCATATCTCTCAATCCGGGCATTTGCTTGAAATATTAACTTCAACTCCTGGAACATCTCATATGCTCCATGACGTTCAAAACGTCGTTGAAGTCCCGATTCTAAGCCGTAAAGCATGGCACACTGAACTATCGAGTAGTCATCAGCTTTGCTCTGCCAGACGTTCATAACATCTGGTGTTGCTCCAGCAGCAGGCCTGGCACCCAGCGGTGCTTCCAGGACGTAATTCTTCTGAGCAACAATGAGGATAATCCTCAAGTTACGGACCCAGTCCGTATAATTGCTACCATCATCTTTCAACTTTGCTTTCTCAAGGAACACATTAAAATTCAATAGAACAACAGCACGAGCCATCTATCTACAATCCACATAAACAAGCAAGATACTATCAGGTACTAAGTTCATGATAAGTTTAAGTTCAGTTAATCAAATTATTTAAGAACTCCCACTTAGATAGACATCCCTCTAATCTTCTAAGTGATTACGTGATCCAAATCAACTAAACCATAACTGATCATCACGTGAGATGGAGTAGTTTTCAATGGTGAACATCGTTATGTTGATCATATCTACTATATGATTCACGCTCGACCTTTCGGTCTCCGTGTTCCGAGGCCATATCTGCATATGCTAGGCTCGTCAAGTTTAACCTGAGTATTCTGCGTGTGCAAAAACTGGCTTGCACCCGTTGTAGATGGACGTAGAGCTTATCACACCCGATCATCACATGGTGTCTGGGCACGACGAACTTTGGCAACGGTGCATACTCAGGGAGAACACTTCTTGATAATTTGGTGAGAGATCATCTTATAATGCTACCGTCAATCAAAGCAAGATAAGATGCATAAAAGGATAAACATCACATGCAATCAATATAAGTGATATGATATGGCCATCATCATCTTGTGCTTGTGATCTCCATCTTCGAAGCACCGTCGTGATCACCATCGTCACCGGCGTGACACCTTGATCTCCATCGTAGCATCGTTGTCGTCTCGCCAAGCTTATGCTTCCATGACTATCACTACCGCTTAGTAATAAAGTAAAGCATTACATCGTGATTTCATTGCATACAATAAAGCGACAACCATATGGCTCCTGCCAGTTGCCGATAACTCGGTTACAAAACATGATCATCTCATACAATAAAATTCAGCATCATGTCTTGACCATATCACATCACAACATGCCCTGCAAAAACAAGTTAGACGTCCTCTACTTTGTTGTTGCAAGTTTTACGTGGCTGCTACGGGCTTAAGCAAGAACCAATCTCACCTACGCATCAAAACCACAACGATAGTTTGTCAAATAGACTCCGTTTTAACCTTCGCAAGGACCGGGCGTAGCCATACTTGGTTCAACTAAAGTTGGAGAGACAGTCGCCCGCAAGCCACCTGTGTGCAAAGCACGTCGGGGGAACCGGTCTCGTGTAAGCGTACGTGTAAGGTTGGTCTGGGTCGTCTCGTCCAACAATGCCGCCGAACCAAAGTATGACATGCTGGTAGGCAGTATGACTTATATCGCCCACAACTCACTTGTGTTCTACTTGTGCATGTAACATCAACATAAATAACCTAGGCTCGGATGCCACTGTTGGGTTTCGTAGTAATTTCAAAATTTTCCTACGCACACGCAAGATCATGTGATGCATAGCAACGAGAGGGGAGAGTGTTGTCTACGTACCCACGCAGACCGACTGCGGAAGCGTTGACGCAACGTAGAGGAAGTAGTCGTACGTCTTCACGATCCAACCGATCAAGCACCGAAACTACGGCACCTCCGAGTTCGAGCACACGTTCAGCTCGATGACGATCCCCGGACTCTGATCCAGCAAAGTGTCGGGGAAGGGTTCCGTCAGCACGACGGCGTGGTGACGATCTTGATGCACTACAGCAGCAGGGCTTCGCCTAAACTCCACTACAGTATTAACGAGGAATATGGTGGCTGGGGGCACCGCACACGGCTAAGGAATAGATCACGTGGATCAACTTGTGTGTTTCTGGGGTGTCTCTGCCTCAGTATATAAAGGACTAGAGGGGGAGCCCAAGATATAAAGGACTAGAGGGGGAGCCCAAGGAACCGTTGGTCCGGTTCAGAAGCTTCCCCTTCCAGCAGCTTAACCTTCCAGACCCCTTTTCAAGGAAAGGCTGCAAATCAATCCTTCTCAACTTCTTGAAAGAGAGGGGGAGCCCAAGATATTTGCAAGGGAACGATCCAACAGCGCCGAACCCAGCAAGGCCATTCTGCACAGAATCTTGCTGGCAACGAATGGGATAGACAACACATTTTGCCGGGTTAATTTTGAGGCCCGAGATAGAGCCGAACACCTCCAGAATCTTGAGGATAGCATCAAGCTGGGAGCGATCCGGAGAGGCAAAGATGGCAGCGTCGTCAGCATATAAGCTTGTTCTCATCCTAACGACATTTCGAGGAATGGGCTCTAGAATGCCACGACCGGTGGCGCACTCAAACATCCTCAGTAGGGGATCCATGGCCAGAATGAAGAGCATTGGAGATAGCGGATCTCCTTGTTGCAGTCCCTTTTTATGAGCGAAAGGAGGGCCAGGGCATCCATTAAGAAGAACTCGAGAAGATGACGAGGCCAGCAACAAACTGATAATATTGCGCCATCTCTGCCCAAACCCGTAAGCCTGCATTACTATTTTATACTGACTAGAACATTTCTTACATGGTGTGTTCATAAGAATAAGAATGAAAAATTGGCCTTCACTGTGAGCCTCCATGGAATCCTTGTTCCATGCTGAATTCTGATTGCATTTTTCTGTTCTGTCAGGGTTCCAGATCATTTTTCCCTTCGGATTTTCTATTCTTTTGGTTATTCTACAATGGTCCACTGCAATGCATGGAATCCTTGATCGCCTCTTACAATGAATTAATTCATTTGTAATTTAACCCTGTGAGTTTAATAACACTTTGATCTTACACATTCTAATATTTTCACTTATCTACAGATGCCATGTACGCCTGCATCCAAGGGGTGTCGACTTCTGCAAGCACACGTGTGGTCACAGCAAGCAGCTGAAGCCCAAGAATAAGATCAAGAATTAGAGTGTCACCAGTCAGTTTCATGGATCTGTTAAATCCATCGCCGTGTCAGAGTTTATGCTTCGTTATTATCATCTCTGGTTGTCGCTGAACCTTATTTACTTTGCTTTCAGCCTTGTAGCTCTTTCGCGATCTTTGAAAGAAAATTTGTATCATGAGAGTGATAAAGGTAGATGATGTTGCTGCTTAAAATTATGGTCGTTTTCCTCATGGTACAGTCTGCTCTTATATAATGTTTTGTTAGAATGAAGAAGACTGATCACACTACTACACTAGGCCATGTCTCGTTGGTGCGAAAACAGAATCGTTGAGTATGGTGTAGTGCTTGATCTGTATTTCATGCCAAAGGGTGTTGAAAACTGTACAATTCAATGATGCCGACCTTATGGTTGGATGAATGGGTTTCGGTGTGCAGTAAGTCCCTCGATGGACATAATTTTTATGTTCTCTCTTGGTATTTTCAAGTCTGAAACGCCATTACACGTATTCGAATTCTTGAGTATATCTCAGGCTATTTCATGCTAAATTCTTTTTAGCCAGAGAAATTGGGTCTTCCTGGGAAGATATATGGACATGCTTGGCTTTACCATATGATCGCTGATGTGATCTCAAATTGTGAAGAACTTTAAATATTGCATAACATCATAATGAACTTTTTCCCACTTTAGATATTTGGGATTAATATTCTAGCAACATATTTGTATCTCTTCTTTTTTAATGTGTCGCCTGTCTGGTTGATTCGCCTGGTACTGTATATCGCTTTTTAATGTGTCACCTGGCTCATAAACCACAGTGCAAATCTGTCTTGCTGCTGTTTTCATCTTTGGTTCTGTATTTTGGCGGTGGCTTTGTTGGAAATGTGCTTGATTTGGTTGGTTTGAACTGTTTATATCTTAGAGATAGACAAATGCAGGTTCAGCAACAACCACACCAACATGACAAAAGAGTTGCATCCTCAAACATACTACAGCTGTCGATTTGATCATGCAACAGCAAATCTGTAAACAGTGTGTGAAAAGCCCAAGAACATATATACATGGCCTTCGACTTTGCAAGCGCCTTCTTGCGCTGCCAACCATGAAATAGTATAGTGAATTAAGTTGCGACATAAAGTGTCGAGTTTCTAGTAGATGTGTCTCAGTAAGTCAGTATTCAACTAGGGACGGTGATATTCATATCTACAAAAGCGTCCTTTGCATTACTTCAGGAGTGCATTTACAGTTCAACTTGACAGTGAAGTTCCTGACTGAATACTCTTCTTGTTCTTAGATTTGTGCTGGGTTTAAGTGTGTGTGCAACTGTGCATGTGTAGGGTGAACAAAAATATTTCTGTTTATGCCAATTCGAAACTACTTACCTTTCTTCTTTAAATGTTCCTGAACTGTAACTTGGCTATTCTGTACAAATGTTTATGTGCATAATACAAATGGAATGCAACTTGAGAGTTCTGAATTCCACTATATTCACCAGTACTCCCCACAGGAGCAGACACCACCCCCGAAATGATGGAACCTCTTCTTGTCCCGAACCACAATCTCCCTCCCTGTCACCTTTGAGATGAGCCTGGCGGCGTTGTGGCAATCCTTGCACATCCTGATGTTCTTGAACACCCTCACCGTCGCCGGCGCGGCCGTCCTCAGCAGCCCGAACGCGACGGCCTGCTTCTCGCTGTGCCACCGCAGCGCCTCCACTTTCTCTTCCTCCTCGAGCTCGTGCAGCACGACCGTGGTGTCGGGAACGTACCCGATCTCGCGGATCCTCTCCTCCAGGCTAAGCCACATCCTTCTCACCTCGCCCATCTCAGGGAGCGTGTTTTCTCCGGCGACGAAGCTGTACACCTTGCCCGCGACGTCGATCCAGCTGCAGCCTGGCTCCTTGGCGACGCCAGTGTCCCTGAGCATCTTCCTCACCTTCCTCATCTCATTCCACCGCCCGGACCCGGCGTACATGTTGGAGGCGAGGACGTAGTGCTCGGCCTTGTCGGGTTCGAGCTCAAGCAACCTGTCAGCGACCTCGCTTCCCAGCTCTGCTTCTCCATGTATGTGGCAGGCAGAGAGCACGGAGCTCAGTATCTTGGCGTCGGGCTCCTGCGGCATCTCCGCCATGAGCGCCACCGCGTCGGCGAAGCGCCCTGCCCGGCTCAGCATGCCGATGACGCAGCCATAGTGCTCTAGCTTCGGTTCTATTTTGTGATGATGGTTTCTCATCTCCTCGAAGAAATGCAGCCCCTCCTCCAGCATCCCTGCATGGCCACATGCCATCAGTAGGCCAAGGTAGGTGAGTTCATCAGGTTCCATCCCCTCCCTCCTCATTTTGCCATATAGCTTAACAGCTTCTTTCCCCAAACCATTGACGGCGTACCCGGTGATCATCGCCGTCCATGACACCTTTGCGTCTCTTGCCTTCAACTGGTCGAAGAACGCCCTGGCGTCGTCCGCAAATCCGCACTTCGAGTACATGTCAATCAACGAGCTGGATAGAAATGGGTCATCGCAGAGGTCAGCTTTCAGGGCAAAGCAGTGCATCTCCTTCCCTAATCGAACAGCTGATAACTCTGAGCAGGCCATCAAGGCACTTGTTGCTGAAATCACTGATGAACAATGGCCTTCCATGGATTGCAACTCCCTGAAGAGCTGGAGCGACTCACCGGGTCGCCCGTTCTGCGAGTACCCGGCGATCATGGCGTTCCATGAAACCTCACCCTTTCCCTCCATTGCATCGAACAGCATTCGAGCCAAAGGCTCCGTCCTGCTGCATCGGATGTAAGCCGAGAGGAGCGAGACCCGGATGATAGGGTCCTTCTCCAGTCCATTCCTGAGGATGAATCCATGGGTGGCCTTGCCATGGAGCAGGTGCTTCGGATCGGCACATGCCATGAGCAAGCTCCCAATGCTGAACCCGTCAGGCTTCAGCCCGCAGGCATTGGTCATCTGAATGAACAGCTCGATCGCGGCGGCGCTGTTCTGCTGCGCGTGGGCACTGATGAGTGCATTCCACGAGCTCACCGTCTTGCTCCGGATGCCGGCGAAGACGCGGTCGGCGTGGAGCAGGCGCCCGCATCTCCCGTAGGCTGCCACCAGTGCGTTTGGCACCTTGTCGCCGGTGGCATCCAGGCCTCTCCGAACGGTGAAGGCGTGCAGCTCCCTCAGCCTGGCCAGCTCCGGCAGGCCGGAGCACGCCGGCAGGACGCTCAGAACGGTGATCTCGTCGGCCGGCACGCTGCCGTTTTCTTCGATCTGCATGTGCATGTCTCGCAGCAGCCCGAACGCCGCTTCGGTCTCGCGGTTCCGCGCGTACGCGCCGAGCATCACGTTCCAGGACACGACGGACGGGGCCTCTGGGAACACGCGCTCGGCGTCCCCGAGCTCGCCGCACTTGGCGTACATGTCGACCAGCACGTTGCCCACCCGCGCGGCCGCGTCCCATCCGGACTTGACCGCGAGGCTATGCACCGCCCTGCCCATATCCGACCACCCGAGCGCGGCGCACATTGGGAGCACCGTCACCAGCGTCGCCTCGTCCACCATCCCGCCGAGCGCCAGCAGGCAGTCCCGGAACAGCTCCAGGCCGCGCCGTGGGTCGCCGGAGAGGGCCGCCATGAGCGCGTTCCAGGACACGAGGTTCCGGGCCGCATCCGGAATTCCGCCGAACACCTTCTCGGCGTCCTCGACGCGGCCGCACCGGCCGTACATCGAGACGAGGGAGTTGCCGACGAAGGGGTCGCCGGGCAGGCCGAGCTTGGCGGCGAGCGCGTGGACCTGGCGCCCCGCGCCGGCGGCCCCGCCGCGTAGGAAGCCGCAGGACCTGGCGGCGGGAGGCAGCGTGAACCTGTCGGGGGCGAGGCCCTCTGAGGCTGCGAGGAGCGGCGGTAGGAGCGCGAGGGCAGCGGCATGACGGCCGGCTCGGGAGTGCTCGGCGAGGAGGGCGTTCCATTGCGGGAGCGACGGGGCAGCGGGCTTCGCCGGCGGCGGAGGAGGCTTGCTTGCGTGTGGCTGTGCGCGATGGGGAAGCGGCGCGAGGTGGACGGTGGCGGGCATGGGGTCAGCTCGGCTTGCTTATCTTGCCGAGTGACAGAGTGGGGAAGAGGAAGTGAGCTCGACCACGCCTCTGGATTTTTGTTTCGCGCGTGCATTTGTATTTTTTTTTTCGCAAAAGTAAAATAAAGAATGCAATACAAATATACACAGGTCAGTACTGACCTGAATGCAATACAAATATACACATGTCAGTACTCGGCCGAGCGAACCAACCTATGATTGAGATGTTTAGGTGGACAGTGGCATCCCCAACCCATCAGGGTTCAAATCCTGGTGCTCACATTATTTCTGAATTTATTTCAGGATTTCCGGCAATGCGCTTTCAATGGGAGGAGACGTTCGTTCCCATCGACGACGAAGCGCCTATGGTGACTTCGTAAATCTCAAGATAATATGTCAGCTCAGTCTCTCGGAGGTGAATCTAGCCTGTAGAATCTACTTCGAGGGCACATGGGAAGAGAAGGGCAGGATGCCACATGCTTCAGAGTCGCCGATGGCGTTCGTCAACTGGGCGAGACATGAAGGGAGATCAGAGGATCCGAGGAAAGAAGGGAGATGGAACTGCATCCTTGACCTCATGTCGACCAGGGTTCCACTGAAGTCAGAGCCGATGGATCCACTCCTGTACTTGTCGTCGGCGCCAGCAGCAGACTGAAGCAGCAAATTCAAAAGAGCTTTGACCAGATTGCTGAAGACGAGGACACCTACTTGTCCTTCAACATTTGGATTACTGATCCTTTGGGTGATGCTCTGTAACACCCACAATGCGGCTATATGTCCCACGTGTCGGGGCATGACTTAGAGGCATATCCGCATGGTAGGCATGTCACAAGAGGGATAATCTTTACATATCCCATGTACTGAATAAGAAAGGGATAAAGAGTCAGCTTACAATCGCCACTTCACACAATACATAAATATATCATACATCATCCAAGGTACAATCAAAGGTCCGACTACGGAACCAACATAAAGAAAGACAACCCCAAATGCTAGATCCCCGATCGTCCCAACTGGGCTCCTCTACTGATCATCCGGAAAAGAAACATAGTAACGACCCGATAGGAAGGGGTAGCGAGGTGGAGCTGCAGCAAGCACTAGCATATATGGTGGCTAACTTACGCAAATGAGAGTGAGAAGAGAAGCAAAGCACGGCCGAGGAACTAATAAGTGATCAAGAAGTGATCCTGAAGCTACTTATGTTCAAGCATAACACGAGACCATGTTCTCTTCCCGGACTCCGCCGAAAATAGACCATCACGGCTACACACGCGGTTGATTCATTTTAATTAAGTTAAGTGTCAAGTTCTCTACAACCGGATATTAACAAATTCCCATTTGCCCATAACCGCGGGCACGGCTTTCGAAAGTTCAAAACCCTGCAGGGGTGTCCCAACTTAGCCCATCATAATCTCTCACGGTCAACGAAGGATATTCCTTCTCTCAGGAAGACCCGATCAGACTCGGAATCCCGGTTACAAGACATTTCGACAATGGTAAAACAACACCAGAAAAGCCGCCCGAATGTGCCGACAAATCCCGATAGGAGCTGCACATATCTCGTTCTCTGGACACACCGGATGAACACTACGTACAACTAAAACCAACCCTCAAGTTTCCCCGAGGTGGCCTGCAAGTGGCTCTGTTTTGGACCAACACTCAGAGGAGCACTAGCCCGGGGGTTTAAAATAAAGATGACCCTTGAGTCCGCGGAACCCAAGGGAAAAGGCTTAGGTGGCAAATGGCAAAATCAAGGTTGGGCCTTGCTGGAGGAGTTTTATTCAAGGCGAACTGTCAAGGGGTTCCCATTATCACCCAACCGCGTAAGGAATGCAAAATTAAGGAACATAACACCGGTATGACGGAAATTAGGATGGCAAGAGTGGAACAAAACACCAGGCATAAGGCCGAGCCTTCCACCCTTTACCAAGTATATAGATGCATTAAAGTAAATAAGAGATAATAATGATATCCCAACAATATTCATGTTCCAACATGGAACAAACTTCATCTTCACCTGCAACTAGCAACGATATAAGAGGGGCTGAGCAAAAGCGGTAACATAGCCAAACAACGGTTTGCTAGGAAAGGGGGGGTTAGAGGCTTGATATGGCAATATGGGAGGCATGATATAGCAAGTGGTAGGCAGCGCGGCATAGCAATAGAGCGAACAACTAGCAAGCAAAGATATAAGTAATTTCGAGGGTATGGTCATCTTGCCTGCAAAGTTCTCAGAGTTGAAGAAAGCTTGATCCTCGTTAGCGTACTCAACAGGTTCCTCGATCACGTACTCGTCTCCCGGCTCTACCCAAGGCAAGAACACAAGCAAAGGACCAACAATCAATCACGGTGCAATGCACAATCAACATGATGCAAAACATGGCATGATATGCGAGATGTGATATGCAATGCATATACGTGCTCCGGAAGGAAAAGATTGATCAAGGCATCAACTTGGAAAACCAAGTGTGCCGCTGGAAAGATGAGATGATTTCAGTCGAAATCGATATAAAGATCACCGGAAACGGATGCACGGTTTGCAAATGGCAAGCAAAACAAAAATGGCACAATTATGCGATTAACAGCATGATGCCATCTAGAATGCAACAAGAAACTAAGCTGCTGCACTCCAACATAGCAACAAAGCATATGGAAGTGATTTACTCAAGATGCTTGACAAAACATGAACACTGAGCTACGGCTAAATCACACAAGAGCAGGTTCAAACAAGCATGGCAAAAGTGCAAAAGATATCAGCATCACAGACTTAGTGAAAATACTATCATGCCAGAAAATAATATCAGGAAGCCATGTTTAGAGCAAGCAAACAACATGCTACATGAACATATCAAAGCAAACAAAGGCATGGCATGGATCTACTAAAAGCATAGAACAAAAGTCCCTTACTGATCATGATCCAAAAAGACACAAAAGATATGATGGCACCCATGTAAACATGGCATAAACAGAGTTATGAAGGCATCTTTGCGAGCTCAAATAACTCACCAGAAGGCATTGCATGAGAATATAAGCATACTAACAGCAAGATGACATGTTCATGAAGCTAACCAAGGCAAGATCAAGTTCATAGCATGCTTGGAATCACTAGCAACAACCATGGCAAAATTGATTAACATGTAAACAATCTGCCAGGAACATTTTATAGCCAAAGTAGAGCAAGATTAAGACATGCTAGGGCACTCCATCATTTCAAACAGGGCCATGGATGGATAGAGCATAACCATATGTACAAAACATCCTTACTGAAGGAACTCAAAACAAGCATGGATCTCACTGTAGCATCATGTTTACATGGCATCAAAATAACAGCAGGAAAATGACAGTAAAATCCTAAGTCACTGAAATCAGCAATATCACAAAGGCTACTTTGCATGCTTGTTCTAATCACCAAATAGATCAAAAAAATACATGGCAAGCACCCCTGTAAAGATGACATGGCATAGTTCAAAACACATGTAGAGCACATGCCCATATGATGCACACATCAAATGTGACAAAAATGACAAATCATCATAATCTGCTAAGTAACAGGAGTAAACATTTTATAGCACTCTTGCACCAATGATTAGGGCATCAAAATGAACTCAAACAAGCATGCCATAATGGAATTAAATGAAGAGCATCTCCCAGTGAACATTTTGATATAACATGCGCATGAAACAGAGCTACAGTCATGGAGTTATGATGCTATGAACAGGGGCATAGAATGTTAGGGACTTAGAAGAAATCAACCTCTCAGAAAAACAGATCTAGGGTTTGAGTGGCACGCGGATCAAGGCGGCCGGATCCTCGCCGGAGTTGGTCGCTGGAGGAGACGGGGAAGGAGGCCGGAGGTGGGGAAGACGATGGCGGCCGGCGATGGAGGCGCGATGCCCGGGGGCGGTAAGGCGGTGGAGCGGCGGACGCCGGCGGAAGCGGGCGACGGCCGGAGTCGCGGCGTAGGGCGACGGCGCGCTCGGGCGCCAGGCGAGAGGGGCATGGGCCCGGAGCGGCTGGGGCGCGGGCCGGCTGCGGGCTGCGTGGGCCGCGGCGGCGGTGGGTGGCGGCGCACCATGTGTCGTGCTGCGAGTGGTGCGGGTGCGGTGGCGCGGGCATGTCCGGTGGTTGCGGACACGTCCGGCGGCGAAGGAGATGAATTTTAGGGTTTTGGGACCCGAAAATTGGACGGGGTGCACATATTTATAGCTAGGAGGAGATAGGAGTGTCCAAATGGAGTGTAGTTTTCGCCCACACGATCGTGATCCGACGACGGAGGACATGGAAGGGGTTTGGATGGGTTATTGGGCCGTTTTGGAGGGGTGTTGGGCTGCAACACACACAAGGCCTTCGCGGTTCCCCAGTTAACCGTTTGAGTATCAAACGGACTCCAAATGGAATGAAATTTGACATGCGGTCTACCGGTGGTGTACCAAGGCCACTTGGCAAATCTCGGTCCATTCTGAGAACGTTCAACACCCGCTCACGAAAAGATACAAGAGGGGTGCGCAGGTGCACGTAGGAGTGTCGGATTGCAAAATGGACAACGGGGAAAATGCTCGGATGCAAGAGACGAACACGTATGCAAATGAGATGCACATGATGACATGATATGAAATGCATGACATGAACAAAATGCAAAACGAAGGCAAAACCCAACCACGAAAGGAAAACTCATAACTTAAAGCCGAAAATGGCAAGAGTCGGAGATACAAATATGGCAAGTTACATTCGGGGTGTTACATGCTCGCCAGCCTGTAATTTTCTCAGCTTATCACCGCAACCATCTCTTTAAGCACGGATTCAAGGGAGAGGGACTGCATACTGCCCCAGACCAGATGCTTCCAGTAAGAGGGCCTGATTTGCCTGCCTTGCCCGTTCTTGAACAAGGTGTCATTGCAATAGAGAAAACAGAGTTGTTGAATGTGCAGGTAGCTAGCCTGGGGCAAAATTCACCACTCAACTCGGGTACTACTAGACCTCTTGAATTGATGTGCGCTCCT